GGTGTTTTGGGGGTTATCTGGGGGTGTTTGGGGGTATGGGGGTGGGATTGGGGGCTGTGGGGTGGTTTGGGTGTTTTGGGGTTATCTGGGGTTGTTTTTGGGGTTATCTGGGGTGTTTTGGGGTTGTCTGGGGTGTTTTGGGGGATTGCAGGGTGGGATGTGGGTATGGAGGAATGGGAGTTATGGGGTTATCTGGGGGTGTCTTTGGGGTCATCTGGGGTTGTTTTTGGTGTCATCTGAGGGTGTTTTTGGGGTTATCTGGAGGTGTTTTATGGGGGGTTAGGTCTGGGGATGGGGTATGGGGTTATCTGGGGGTGTTTTTGGGGTTATCTGGGGGTGTTTTTGGGGTTATCTGGGGGTGTTTGGGGAGTATGGGGTGGGATGTGGGGGTGTTTTTGGGGTTATCTGGGGGTGTTTTTGGGGTTGTCTGGGGGTGTTTTTGGGGGGCTATGGGGTTATCTGGGGGTGTTTTTGGGGTTATCTGGGGGTGTTTTTGGGGTTATCTGGGGGTGTTTTTGGGAGTATGGGGTGGATGTGGGGTAAGTTTTGGAGTTATCTGGGGGTGTTTTGGGGTTGTCTGGAGGTGTTTTTGGCGGGCTGTGGGGTGGTCTGGAAGGTTATGGGGTTATCTGGGGGTGTTTTTGGGGTTATCAGGGGGTGGTTATGGGGTTGTCTGAGGGTGTTTTTGGGTGGTTGTGGTGTGGGATGGGGGTATGGAGTGGAATGGGGGTTTGTGGGGTGATCTGGGAGGTTTTGGGGTTGTCTGGGGGTGTTTTTGGGGGGCTGTGGTGTGGTTTGGGTGTTTTGGGGTTATCTGGGGTTGATTTTGGGGTTATCTGGAGGTGTTTTGAGGTTGTCTGGGGGTGTTTTTGGGGTTATCTGGGGGTGATTTTGGGGTTATCTGGGGGTGTTTTTGGGGTCATCTGGGGGTGTTTTTGGTGCTATCTGGAGGTGTTTTTGGGTGGTTGCGGTGTGGGATGTGGGTATGGAGTGGAATGGGGGCTGTGGGGTTATCTGGGGTTGTTTTTGGTGTCATCTGGGGTTGTTTTTGGGGTTGTCTGGGGGTGTTTTTGGGGTTATCTGGGAGTGTTTTTGGGGTTATCTGGGGGTGTTTTTTGGGGGGTATGGGGTGGGATGTGGGGGTGATTTTGGGGTCATCTGGGGGTGTTTTTGGGGGGATTGCAGTGTGGGATGTGGGTATGGAGTGGAATGGGGAGTTGTGGGGTTATCTGGGGTTGTTTTTGGTGTCATTTGGGGTTGTTTCAGGGTGGTCCCACCCCCCCCTTACCTGATGACGGTGGGGTAGAGCTCCCCCGTGTAGAGGAAGACGCAGTTGAAGGAGGCGGCCAAAGAGCCCTTCCCAAAACGGCCAGGGCCATGAGCGGAGCGTCCGGTAGCTCTGGGGGACAGGGGGCACAAAAATCTGGGATTTTGGGAGGGATGGGATGGGATTGATGGGATTGATGGGATGGGATTGATGGGATGGGATGGTTGGGATGATCAGGAAGGGATGGGATGGGATGGGATGGGATGGGATTGATGGGATGGGATGGGATTGATGGGATGGGATGGATGGGATGATCAGGAATGGGATGGGATGGGATGGGATGGGATGGGATGGGATGGATGGGATGGGATGGATGGGATGGATGGGATGAGGATGGGATGGATGAGATGGTTGGGATGAGCAGGAAGGATGGGATGGGATGAGCAGATGGAGATAGGATGGAATGGAATGGATGGAACCCCACCCCAAAGCCCCTAGAAACCCCCAGAACCCCTCACCCCGTGGCACCAGGATGCTGGCCAGGATGGGAAGGATGGGATGGGATGGGATGGGATGGGATGGGATGGGATGGGATGATGGGATGGGATGGGGATGGGATGAGACAGGATGGATGGATGAATGGGATGGAGATGGGATGGGATGGATGGGATGGATTAGGATGGGATGGGATGGGATGGGATGGATGGATGGGATGGGATGGATGGGATGGGATGGGATGTAGTAGGATGGGATGGATGGGATGGGATGGGATTGGATGGGATGGGATGGGTAGAAATGGATGGGATGGGGTAAAATGGATGGGATGGGATGGGATGGGATTGATGGGATGGGATGGAATGAGATGGTTGGGATGAGCAGGATGAGATGGGATGATCAGGATGGGATTGAATGCGATGAGCAGGATAGGATGGGATGGGGTGGGATGAGATGAACCCTCACTCCCAGAACTCCCAGACCCCCCAGACCCCCTAGAAGCCTCTCAAGCCCTCTCACCCTCGTGGCACCAGGATGTTGGCCAGGATGGGATGGGATGGGATGGGATGGATGGGATGGATGGGTAAAATGGGATGGATGGGATAAGAATGGGATGGGATGGGATGGGATGGGATGGGATGGGATGGGATGGGATGGGATGGGATGGATGGGATGGGATGGGATGGGATGGGATGGGATGGGATGGATGGATGGGATGGGATGGGATGGGATTGATGGGATGGGATGGGATGGGATGGGATGGGATGGGATGGGATGGGATGGGATGAGCGGATGGGATGGGATGGGATGGATGGATGGGATGGGATGGGATGGATGGGATGGGATGGGATGGGATGGGATGATGGGATGGGATGGGATGGGATGGATGGGATGGAATGATGTGGATGGGATGGGATGGGATGGATGGATGGGATGGGATGGGATGGATGGGATGGGATGGATGATGGATGGATGGATGGGATGGGATGGATGATGGGATGGATGGGATGGGATGGGATGGATGATGGGATGGGATGGGATGGATGGATGGGATGGGATGGGATGGGATGGGATTGATGGGATGGGATGGATGGGATGGGATGGGATGGATGGATGGGATGGGATGGGATGGATGGATGGGATGGGATGGATGGGATGGGATGGGATGGGATGGGATGGGATGGGATGGGATGGGATGGGATGGGATGGGATGGATGGATGGATGGGATGAGCAGGATGGGATGGGATGGGATGGGATGGGATGGGATGGGATGGATAGGATGGGATGGGATTGGGATGAGCAGGATGGGATGGGATGGATGGGATGGAATGGGATGAGCAGGATGGGATGGGATGGATGGGATGGGATGGAATGGGATGGATGGGATGGGATGGATGAGATGGGATGATCAGGATGGGATTGAATGCGATGAGCAGGATAGGATGGGATGGGGATGGATGAGATGAACCCCACTCCCAGAACCCCCAGACCCCCCCCAGACTCCCAGAAGTCTCAAGCCCCCTCACCCTGTGGCACCAGGATGTTGGCCAGGATGGGATGGGATGGGTGATGGATGGGATGGGATGGAATGAGATGGGATGGGATGGGATGGGATGACAGGGATGGGATGGGATGGGATGGGATGAGCAGGATGGGATGGGATGGATGGGATGGGATGGGATGGGATGGGATGGGATGGATGGATGGATGGGATGGGATGGATGGGATGGAATGGGGCAGGATGGGACCCCCACTCCCAGAACCCCAGAACCCCCTCACCCCGTGGCACCAGGATGTTGGCCAGATGGCCAGCCCTGCTGATGGAATGGGATGGGATGGGATGAGAAGATTGGGATGATCAGGAAGGGGTGGGATGGGATGAGCAGGATGAGAAGGGATGGAATGGGATGAGATGGACCCCCACTCTCCAGAACTCCCCAAGCCCCCTCACCCCGTGGCACCAGGATGCTGGCCAGGATGGGATGGGATAGGATGGGATGGGATGGAATGGATGAGATGGACTCCCACCCCCTGAAAGCCCCCAGAATCCTCCAAGCCCCCTCACCCCGTGGCACCAGGATGTTGGCCAGGATGGCCAGCCCTGCCAGCAGCAGCGCCACCACCTGCGTGAAGCGCCGCCAGGCGGGTGAGGGTGAGGATGGAGAGCAGCTTGGCCGGGATGTCGACGGCCCCGAAGATGAGCTGCATGACGTAAATGTCCACCCCAAAACCCTGCAGGTCCATGGCCAGCCCGTAGTAGGCTAAGCTGGTGGAGAACCTGGGGGCAGGGGAGGAGGGAGGAGGGAGGGAGGAGGAGGAGGAGGAGGAGGAGGAGAGAGGGAGGGAGGGAGAGGTGTTAAATGGGGTGGTGGGGGTGGGATGGGAGGGTGGGGTGGTTTGAGGTGGGGTGGAATGGGAGGTGTGGGGTGGGATTGGGGTTGTAGGGTGGGATGGGGGTTGTGGGGTGGGATGGGGGTTGTAGGGTGGGATGGAGGGCTTGGGGGTGAGGATGGGGGTATGGAGTGGGATGGAGGGTTGTAGGGTGGGATGGGGGCTGTAGGGTGGGATGGGAGGTGTGGGTGGGATGGGGAGGGTGTAGGGTGGGATGGAGGGTGTGGGGTGGGATGGGTGGTTGTGGGGTGGGAGGAGGTGTGGGGTGGGATGGGAGGTGTGGGGTGGGATGGGGTGTAGGGTAGGATGAGGGGTTGTGGGGTGGGATGGGAGGGTGGGGTGGGATGGGGTTGTAGGGTGGGATGGGAGGGTGTGGGGTGGGATGGGAGGTTGTGGGGTGGATGGGAGGGTTGTTGGTGATGGGAGGGTGTGGGTGGGATGGAAGGGTGGGGTGGTTTGGGGTGTGGAATGGGGGTGTAGGGTGGGATGGGGTTGTGGGGTGGGATGGGGAGCTTTAGGGTGGGATGGGAGGTGTGGGGTGGGATGGGGTGTGGTAGGGGTGGGATGGGAGACTGTGGGGTGGGATGGGGGGTTGTGGGGTGGGATGGGAGGTTGTGGGGTGGTTTGGGGGTGGGGGTGGGATGGGGGGTTGTGGGGTGGGATGGGGGGTAGGGTGGGATGGGAGGTGTAGGTGGGATGGGAGGGTGTGGGGTGGGATGGGAGTTGTGGGGTGGGATGAGGGGCCTGGGGGTGAGATGGGGGGTTGTGGGTGGATGGGGGCTGTGGGGGTGGTTTGGGGTTGAGGGTGGATGGGGGCTAGGGGGTGGTTTGAGAGCAAGGAATGGGGCTGGGGGTGGATGGGGCTGTAGGGTGGGATGGGGAGGGTGGGGTGGGATGGGGTTGTGGGGTGGGATGGGAGGTTGTGGGTGGGTGGGGAGCTTTGGAGTGGGATGGGAGGGTGTGGGGTGGGATGGAGGGTATAGGGTGAGATGGGGGCTGTGGGGTGGATGGGGGCTGTGGAATGGGGTTGTAGGGTGGGATGGGGGAGCTTTAGGGTGGGATGGGGATGACCCTCCACGAGCGGGTCCCTCCTTGTCTGGGGATTCCTGCCCGGTTTAGGGGCTGCTTTGGGGGGTCTAGGGTTGGGGGTGGTTTGGGGTTGTGAAGTGGGATGGGAGGATGTGGGATGGGATGGGAGGTGTGGGGTGGGATGGGGGGTGTAGGATGGGATGGGGGTGTAGGTGGGATGGGAGGTGTGGAGTGGGATGGGAGGTGTGGGGCGGTTTAGGGGTGTGGGATGGGGTTGTAGGGGTGGGATGGGGGGGCTGGGGTGGTTTGGGAGGTTGTGGGGGTGGGATGGGGAGCTTTGGGGTGGGCTGGGGGTGACCCTCCATCGAGCGGTCCCTCCCCTTGGCTGGGGATTCCTGCCCAGTTGAGGGGCTGTTTGGGGGTGGGATGGGGGCTGTGGGGTGGGATGGGGGTGTAGGGTGGGATGGGGTTGTGGGGTGGGATGGGGGCTGTAGGGTGGGATGGGGGTGTGGTGGGGTGGGGAGCTGTGGGGTGGGATGGGGGTTGTAGGTGGGATGGGATGTGGGCTGGGATGGGAGGGTGTGGGGTGGGATGGGAGGTTGTGGGGTGGGATGGGGGTTGTGGGGTGGTTTGGGGTGTGGGGTGGGATGGAGGTAGGTGATGGGGTGGGGGTTAGGGGTGGGGGTGGGATGGGGGTTTTAGGTAGGATGGGAGGTGTAGGGTAGGATGGGGGATGGGGTGGGATGGAGGTTGTGGGGTGGTTTGGGGGTGTGGGGTGGGATGGGGGCTGGGGATGGGATGAGAGGCTGTAGGGTGGGATGGGGAGCTTTAGGGTGGGATGGGAGGTGTGGGGTGGGATGGGGAGGGTGTAGGGTGGGATGGGGGGTTGTGGGGTGGGATGGGTGGGTTGTGGGGTGGGAGGGGAGGTGTAGGGTGGGATGGGAGGTGTGGGGTGGTATGGGGGTTGTAGGTTGGGATGGGAGGTGTGGGTGGGATGGGAGGGTGTGGGGTGGAATGGAAGTTGTAGGATGGGATGGGGGTTGTAGGGTGGGATGGGGGTGTGGGGTGGGATGGGGTTGTAGGTGGAATGGGGGCCGTGGGGTGTGATGGAGGTTGTAGGGTGGGCTGGGGTGACCCTCCACGAGCGGGTCCCTCCCCTGGCTGGGGATTCCTGCCCAGTTTAGGGGCTGTTTTGGGGGATTCAGGGGGCTGGGGTGGTTTGGAGGGTGCAGGGTGTGATGGGGGTTGTAGGGTGGGCTGGGGTGACCCTCCACGAGCGGGTCCCTCCCTTGGCTGGGGATTCCTGCCCGGTTTAGGGGGCTGTTTTGGGGGTTCAGGGGTAGGGGTGGTCTGGGAGTGTGTGGAGTGGAATGGGGCTTGGGGGTGGAATGGGGTTGTAGGGTGGGATGGGGGGCTGGGGTGGTTTGGGTGGGTGTGGAGGGATGGGGGTTGTAGGGTGGGATGGGGGCCTGGGGTAGTTTGGGGGTGTGGGGGTGGGATGGGGAGCTTTGGGGTGGGCTGGGGTGACCCTCCACGAGCGGGTCCCTCCCCTTGGCTGGGGATTCCTGCCCGGTTTAGGGGGCTGTTTTGGGGGTGATCAGGGGGTGGGGGTTGGATGGGAGGGGGTGGGTGGGGTGGCTTGGGGTGTGGAATGGGGGCTGGGGGTGGGATGGGAGTGGGTGGGGTGGGATGGGGTGACCCTCCACGAGCGGGTCCTCCCTTGTCTGGGGATTCCTGCCCGGTTTAGGGGTTGTTTTGGGGGTGATCAAGGGGGTGGTCTGGGGGTCAGTCTGGCCCAGCAGCCCCCTCCCCAGGCCGTACCAGACGCAGCAGAGGCAGCCCGAGATGCGGCGCAGCCTCGGCGTCCCCACCAGCGCCAGCACCGGGTGGAGGCTCCGTGGGGCCCTCAGCTCTGTCTGCATCTGCGACCTCAGCGTCTGGGGGGCACAGGGGGCCACAGGGATGGGGAGGGGGCCATGGGCTGGGAGGGGGATCCCGGGCTGGGAGAGGGGATCGTGGGGAAGGGAGGGGCTCCCGGGCTGGAGGGGATCCCAGGGTGGGAGGGGGATCCCGGGCTGGGGAGGGGGATCCCAGGCTGGGGAGGCGGATCCCGGGCTGGGGAGGGGGATCCCGGGCTGGGGAGGGGGTTCCTGGGGAAGGGAGGGGGGAAGGGGTTCCTCCTCCTCACTGGGAGGGGTGGGGAGGGGGAGGGGGATCCCGGGCTGGGGAGGGGGCTCTCAGGCTGGGGAGGGGATCCCGGGAAGGGAGGGGGATCCCAGGCTGGGAGGGGGCTCACAGACTGGGGAGGGGGCTCACAGGCTGGGGAGGGGGATCCCGGGAAGGGAGGGGGCTCCGGGCTGGGGGAGGGGATCCTGGGCTGGGGAGGGCTCAGGGTTCCTCCCTCCTCACTGGGAGGGGTGGGGGAGGAGGGGGAAGAAGGAGGAGGAGGGGGAAGGGTTTGGGTTTGGGTTGGGATGGGGAGGGAAAAGGGGGTGGGAGGAGAAGGGGGAGGGACGTGGGAGGGTGGGGGGAGGTGGAGGTGATGGAGAAGGATGGAATGTTGGGATGGATGTTGGGAGGGATGGATGGATTTTGAGAAGGATGGATGGATTTTTGGAGGGATGGATGATGGATGGATGGATGGATGGATGGATTTTGACAAGGATGGATGAACAGATGGATGGATGGATGGATGGATGGATGTTGGGATGGATGGATGGATGGATGGATGGATGGATGGATGGATGTTGGGATGGATGGGTGGATGGGTGGATGCTGGGATGGATGGATGGATTTTTGGAAGGAGGGATGGATGGATGGATGGATGGATGGATGGATGGATGGATGGATGGATGGATGGATGGATTTTTGGAAGGAGGGATGGGTGGATGGATGGATGGATGGATGGATGGGTGGATGGATGGATGTTGGGATGGATTTTTGGAGGGATGGATGGGTGGAGGGATGGATGGATGGATGGATGGATGGATGGAGGGATGGATGTTGGGATGGATGGATGGATGGAGGGATGGATGGATTTTTGGATGGATTTTTGGATGGATGGATGTATGGATGGGTGTTGGGAGTGATGGATGGATGTTGGGATGGATGGATGGATGTTGGGATGGATGGATGGATGGATTTTGAAAAGGATGGATGGATGGATGGATGGATTTTTGGATGGAGGAATGGAGGGATGGATGGATGGATGGATGGATGGATGGATGGATGGATGGATGGATGGATGGATGTTAGGAGGGATGGAGGGATGGATTTTGAAAAGGATGGATGGATGGATTTTTGGATGGATTTTTGGATGGATGTTGGGATGGATGGATGATGGATGGATGGATGAATTTTGGGAAGGATGGATGGATATTGGGACAGGAGCACCAGAACAGGGAATTCACATCCCCCCACCCTATAAACCCCCCCAGAGACCCCCCCCACCCCCGGGTCCCTCCCAGAGCCTTTTACTTGGATGTCGAGCTTGTCCCCCTCCTCCCTCCTGCCGTTGATCTTGGCCACCTTCTGGAGGGCCCTCAGGGCCTGCTGGGACCGGCCCACCATGAGGAGCCACCGCGCCGACTCCGTCAGCCACCTGGGCGGGGCAGCCGTGTGGCCATCTGTCCATCTGTCCATCCATCCCACCCTTCCATCTGTCCATCTGTCCATCTGTCCATCCATCTCACTGTCCATCCCAACATCCATCCCACTGTCCATCTGTCCATCCATCCATCTATCCCACTGTCCATCCATCCGTCCATCCATCCCAACATCAATT